GAAAACCTGATGAGGTAGGGAGTCCTCCCTCGTCTGAAACAAAGAACCTATCGGTTCACGCGAAGCTCCAGACTTCTTCCCAGTGCTTAATTCCAGGAGGAATTCATTTCACGGATTCTCTGGAACAGCTTTACCTAATGGTTTGCAGAAAGGTTCCGGAAACTTGTCCAAAACAGCCCTTTCTTACGTAGATCCCATTAGAAGCTAAAGGCTCACGTGAGTGAAAACCTGAGGTGAATTTCCCAGGGAAATGGCAGTGATAAATCCGGGTGATCGTTTCCTGGCTTCTAACTTGATCTATGGAGGAGCAGAGAGACCAGAAGAGCCAGCATGTGAGGTGACAAGAGTTGAAAGAGCATTGGTGCCACAAGGAGTAAGGATTGAATATTGGCCCTACTGCCCGCTGTGTGCCCTTAGGGGAGTTACTTAACCGCTCTGAGCCTCATTTTCCCAACCTGCAAAATGGGAATGAGAATGCATCCCTCACGTCATTCTTATGGGGGGTCATTCAATCATTCATTTAGTAAAAATTAAAAGCCTACCTGGTGCCAGGTACTGTGGAAGGCGCTGGAGACACAGCGATGGACAAGACTAGCAAAGAGCTTGCCCTTGTGGAGTTTACATTTAGTGGAGAAAGAGCATAATAAATAAACAAACAAACAGGAAACTATCTTCTGGGAGGAAGAAGAAGAGGATTGGTGCTACGATTCTGGCTGAGATGACGGGCGTCCTCTCATTTCCATTCTCCTCTTCTTCCTGTGTACTAGAACTCTGGACGCATGGCTTCCCAGAATAAAGACTACATTTCCCAGGCTCCCTTGAAGCTAAGTGTAGCCATGTGACTAAGTTCTGACGAATAGGATAGACACGGAGGCAACCTTTGAGAAATATTCTTTTTTTAAAAAAATTCTTTATTGTTTAAAGCATTGCGTATAGTTTTACATTCCCCATTGATATTTCCTCAGACGTTCCCACCCTCCAGCACATGCCCTCACCCCAGTACTATGTCCAGGGTTATGCTTAAATGCATGTATACAAGTCCTTTGGTTGATCTCTTACCTCCCATCCCCGAACCCCCTGCTTGGACCGTGAAGAGGAAGCCACCTGCTAAGGATGCCCCACGACGGAGGGTCCTGGGTAGGGTCCCTGACTCTGCAGCGTACCATTGCCAGCCTGGGGCCTCCTCTCTCCAGGCTTCTCCACCAAAGAGAAATAAACTTCGGTCCTGCTTAAACCACGAAGGCGTGGGGTTTTCTCTCACACACATTCCTCCCTGATTTCCCAGTGATAGCGTGGCTGGGGTTATTTCTAAATGGATGGTCAAAGGAGGCGTTTTGTTTTTTTTCTGGGATAACATTTCCCCTGAGGCTGGACAGGGAGAATGAGCCAGCTGGGGGAATGGGGAGGAGCACCTGGGAAGGGGGGGGGGA